ATGCAAAATGATGTAGACCAAGATGATAGAAGAACGTAAAAAATTACGTTGTTATATCTTTGTATACAAATTATTAATTATGTACCAAACTTAGGGATAGAACGAACTACGGTTGTTAACTACGTGTTGGCTGAATGTTGAATAATTAATTAAATACGTTTCTTCAAAAAAAATAAATACAGTGATATTTTAATATCTATACGAAATAAATTAGAACACTTTTATGATTAAAAGAATGATGTTCAGTGCGAAATGATAATCAAAAGCTCTTTTTAAAAAGTAATTGTTGATTAGTAATTAAATCATAGAGCATGTATTTGATTGGTGAATAACAATCAATATTCTGTCATGGCAAGATGGATGTGGTAATCAAGAATAAATCAAAGTGTATATACACCACAGCAGTAAGTACAGCATAGCTAAAATTCGCTGCTATACTATAATATACAGTAGAAATATTTTTAGCACTTAATCATTTCTCTTACTAATATTTCCATGATATGTTGTGAGATAATAATTAAACATACTTTTTAAAAAAAGCTAATATTTTCTCGCTGGCATCATCAACACTTTGTTTGAATCGATACACATAGAATATGATTGAAGTAAATATAGAAGTATTAACAAAATTATATTTCTGAGAAGAGCAAATATTACAATATTTGATGATTTTTCTAGAAGTTAGTGATTTTTTTCATGAGTATTCGTTTAATTAATCCTCATAATTCGCCTACATTCAAACAAACTCCCTTGGGGCACAAGCACCTACTATGGTCTTTTATGACCTTTGATTTATGATCCAAAAATTACTATAATGTAATTTATACAATAGCGTAAAGCAATACAGCACTAGGTTACGATTTTTGTAGCGTATAAGCCGATGCCTGAGTTTGTAGATACAAATTGATTATTATAAGAGCTTACACAAATCGTCCATTAGTAACAAAGAAAAATGAAGAGACCTACAAACTGTTCTTGATACAAAAAAACCTTTTATAGAATGCCTTTCTTCCAAAATTAACTACTAAATGATGGTAGCGCAACATGATTGAAAGTTAACCCTTGGCAGACCGGTAGTCGACAAATAGCCTTGGAGCGCTGTTATAGTTGTGAAATGTGTCAGCATGTATATATTTATCATCTCACAGCAACGCTTGCTTATCGAGAGGTTTGGATAGCAGAAAGTTGAAGACGAAAAGATCTACAAACAATGTTGGCATGGCTGTGTACAAGTGTACGAACAGGTTGCAGTAAGATTAGTGATGACTATCAGGAGTGAAACGAGAGTGAACAACGGATCACATGTTTTGAACTATTTGAAACTCGAGTAGATATTATAAACGGTAATGTGGTGTACTTACATGAAAATTGCTTTTATTTATAAGTTTTAACAAGAATTATAGATATTACCGTTAGCTACGTCAAAATGAAGTATTTATTGCTATTTTTGGAATATATTACGCTAAATTGTGCCATGTTTTGACCAAAACGGGAAAAAACAAGGATATCCATTTTTTACGTATGTACCGCGACCGAGAAGTATATCGATAGGGAAAACGCAGCCCTTGTTGTTTGTTTATATGATTCAGAAGAATGATAGATTGATCAGATTAAACACATTTGTTTTATTTTAATGTATAAAAAGACGATGGGTTGCGCAAAATAGAATGTCTACATCTAAAAACATTGACACTGGCAGGCGCACAGGAAGAAAAAAGAACATTTCCTATGCTGCGCTAATAGCACAGGCACTACTTAGCAGCGCAAATAATAGACTAACACTCAAGGAGATATATCACTTTATCTCTACGAACTATCCAGAATACACACTCCACAAGCAGGGGTGGCAAAACAGCATTAGACACAATTTATCGCTTAACAAAGCCTTCTACAAGGAGCCAAAGATCAAGGGCACGCCCGGAAAGGGATCGCACTGGTCAATAGATCTTAAGGCAGCAAAGAATATTCTTGACAAGTCAGATAGGTCAATTAGAACGGCCTCACGCATACGACGTGGTTACGGACACACCAACAGCTGTCTCAACCGAAAAAGGAGCCCGCTCTTGGGAGATATTCGTATATCTGACGAGAAGAAGAAAGGAGCACATAAAACGATTATTTTTAACGGCGACTTGAATCCCTACAATGAAAGCCTTGAGGCGTTTTTTGGACTTCCCAATCACCGCGATGATGAGAACGGTGATGATGGTGGTAAGGATAGGAACGATTGGCAAAACTACTGCGGAGTTAACTCCTATTTTAAATTCTAATAAAAGACTTAGATAGAGCGATGTTATATGTTCCAACGTATTTTATACCTGAAGTCTGTATTTAAATATATACTATTACATATACCTATCACATTACTCCTTGGCAGTTGATTGCAAGTATGTCAACCATTCAATTAAAAATAACAATCTATCAATATCAGTGTTTAATTAAAAATTGCCATAAATGTTTTTTTAATTATCCACCAATCATCAAGAATGACAGCAACGAAATTATTGCATGTTTAATATACAAGTCCCTGATCAATAATCTAATATTAGATAAGCCTTCTTACAAGTGATATGTAAATTCATATTTACCATTTAGTAAATTACGCTGTTAGCGGCAGGCAGATTATGATGAAATAGTAGTTTAGATACTGCTGTAGTTCAACTTTCAACAAAATGGCTGCCAGCAAATCCATAACAGCAATAACCTTGTTTTTTGTATCAAATTAATTATCCGCATTTTTTCTTTTAGCAAGGCTCACTGCTATACAAGAATATTCTTATTTCATCGAATTTACCTCGTGAACGATATTATATGATCAAAATACACTTTGTGACTATTTTAAAAAAGTAAATTTAAGCTTAAAGTTATCTAAACTATAATTTTCGTCTATATTTACAGTGTGATATCATTTATTATTTTATATAAAGGTAATTTACAAATTAATTGATATAAATTTACAAAAAATATTTTACAAGTAACTATATAACTATTCATTGGTTGATTCACATGTGATATGCTATAGTGGTATGGAAGTGTGATAAATAAATTTAATTTAACATATAAGTATTTATCGATGCCTTATACTATAAATTTAAAGTGTTTGTGCACCTGTATAACAACTATTGAAGTGCACTTCAGAGGATATAATGGTATGGCTAATCACGAAATTGCTGATAGGTATAAATCATAATATACTCGTTAATCACTGATAATTTTTAAGTATAATCAGTGTTATAGCATTCCATTGTTAGTATATCATATCAATTGCAGGCTATTTTGTGATTGATGGCTTTTATAAACATGTAACCAACTTATTTTTTTTCATCAAGTGATTTTTAATATGGTTACATATAATTCTTGGCGCTAAAATTTTCTACTAATACATTATCACGTACTTTAGTATCATTATAAGTTTTTACATCTACACTACGTTGTACAGCAATAAAACAGTTGTTTTTGTTTGAAAGTCATTTTAATTAAATCTCCTTGCCACCACATACTAGCAATAAAACAGTAAATAGCTACTTGAATTAAACAACTTGGATTGGTGTCAGGATTAAAATAATCAGTTGTGATAGTTTCTTTATAACAGAGAACATAAATTTGGTTAATTACTTACGATCAACATATATTCGGCTCAAAATTTTTATTTATTGTTCCTTTAGAAAATTCCTTTTAGGACTTTTTGCATGAAGGCTCAACATATAACACGATACATAACATGAGATCATTGTTTACACTTTAAAATGGGCAAAACAACTTTTGTTAACGTTTGTATTTTGTCATACATTGGTTGATAAAAAATTACGGTGAGCGTTTTAAGAGGGGAGTCTACGTAGGCATCTGTGATTTTATATTTCTGTTAAAATGAAGAACTAAAATTGCATTTTTTTTGAAGGTTAATAATGATGTATTGTTTCGTTTTAACTAATCAACCTGTGGCCTTTCTCTGTATCAGTTTTAATATAGTCAAATTTTAATATGGTTACTTGATTTACTTTACCTTATGTAAGCGGTTTCAGCTGTATTTCTAGATTTTTCATCGCACATCCGTATGATATCGTATTTAAATATAAAAGAGTAATTTAGTAAAAAATATTACCTAATTATCCATTTTAATTAAGTTTTGTTCAATATGTTTACGGGTGTGAGGCACAGTGAAACGTAAAATATCATCGTTCATATTAATCCCCACCAATGATCAAAAAAATAATTTTTTTCATCCAAGAGGCACCTTTTACGGGCACAGAAAAACACAAGGTTGCACAAAGCCGACCAGCAGCACCACCCCGTCCAGACATTACACATCATATTCTTCTTACTATCATCGATTCTCCTTTATACAAATCCAATAGATGCAAAATTTACGTTAAAACGGTTAACAACATTTTGATAGAAATAAACGAGGGAACGCGGATACCACGGACAACGACAAGATTCGTAGGTCTAATGAAGGATGTCTTACGGAAATTAAAAATAAAAGATGAGGATAAGACGCTCATGCGCGTAGTGAAAAGCAAAATAGATTTTCCACCTGGTGCGGTCAAAATTGGCATGTCACGGAAAGGAGAAAGAATCAGCAAGGAACATTTTATAGCCAATGATGTAGTATTATACGTGAATGCTAAACAACGAGGCGAGGATGTCTTTGATGACGTAGATGTTCTCATGAAGGTTAGCGACTACGAACTGAGTGGTGCGGCAGCTGTCGGAAAAGCCATATTTTTCATTGAAGATATTCTAAACGTATTTTAAGTAATAAATCTTTATTCATGATTTGTTTTATTTCTATGGTTAGACATGTGATTTGCACATTATTTTAATCGAAAAGTATATCTGTATAGAGTGATACTGCTACATAACGTTAACATGATATATTTCAGCTCGTTTTAAAACATAATCGGCAATGCCGAGTTTCTTATATGTTGGTGATTAGATATTCCCATAATTGATATGTTATAATATAACCCATTATAAAACATAATATGTAGCTACATCGATCCGTGATGGTCCAGTGGTTAGGATTACGGTCTCTCACACCGTAGGCCCGAGTTCGATTCTCGGTCACGGAAATTTCTTTTGTCAGTTTGATCAGATCAATCATCCAGATTTTGCCCGTATTATTTAAACAATTTTGTCCCCAATGAACATGTTGAGAAACAAAGATATATTTAAATACGAATGCGTACGAGGCAAAGGCCCTCTTCGTAAATTTATACGAACTTCGTATCCTCGCTTGATCACATATTCGTGCCCGAATGACATCCATGTGCTGCTTTGCAAGGAAAAAAGCTTCGAATTTTTGCAGAGAAGTGGTGTGGTTAAAGAGAATGTACCATTTTTACGTGTTGAAGGCGAGGAGGTATCTCTGCCGTTTAGTTTTAAGTTTATTGAGGCGTATGACGATACGCCATATTTAGCCATCGTTATGAAGTTAAGAGAAAGAAAAGATTAAATCGTAACTTAACGCACACTGTCCAGCTTTTTTAAACGATAATATGTGCGATAACTCGTAGAAAGTACTTATCAGCCTATTGAGTGCATATCTGTGCACGTATTTGCACTTTTAGTTTTCTAAACACGATAAAGCGTGTTTGCACGTCTCCTCTTCATATAAGAACAAAATTGTATTATACCGCTCTTTTTATTTCTTCACCCGTTACCCAAATGCCTATGTTACTCTCGCTAGCAATCAAATTCTCGTTTCAAAGTTCCTCCCAATTTTTATCCCATGGCCCTTTTGCTCTACGTCACCAATCCGTTTCCCGGACACAAAACGAATTTTGTTGACTTTCTCAAACGCGTCACCAAGACAACACGAGTACGGGTGTTTCAGATTGGAAGCACCATCCTACCATTTTACTTTCTAGTATTCGACTCAAGAAACGATCTGCAGGCTGCCGTTAATATCCTTGATATTGTCAAACGGCAATTTATAGCCAAACTTGAGTTTTACACTGAGCAAAACATAAAAATACAAAATATGAGTCTTTCTAAAGGTTTGAGCGCTGTTATCAAAGAATATGAAGAGTGTGCCAACGAAAACGCAGTGCTTGATAAGTTTATGTCTGAGTTACGTGGTGATGAAAATAAAGACCCGGTAAAAGAAATGTCGGCAATTTACGAAAAGCTCGTGGTCAATTGGATGGAGCAAGAAAAGGAGATTAAAGACGAGTTTTTGAAAAGATTGAGGATCATCGAATCGAAACGAAAGAAAACGTCTGATAAACAATGAATATGTCATAATTTGTATAAAATAGGGTTCATCTGACTATAATAGCACAAACTGAGAGGCCGTACCACGAACAATTGATAAAAAACGCCATAACACGTGCAAAAAGAGAACTTATAGATTGGTGTACGGAGCTAAGATATAATAACGGAGATGAATATTAATTTAGCACCGCCTTTCGTAACACAGGGCTGTATTCAACAAGAAATTGTATTTAATAGACACGATTACCGCAGTGTTGCTAATATATCACGATATAATTTGTGTTCTACAACGATGCGGTATAAAACGAAATAGCAGTACAACACAAGGAATTTGTTCGCAGTCCTTCTTTAATAAAGGCGTCTTTATTTAATTTCATTATCCAATAATACACACAGACATTTTAATATACACAGACATTTCTTTGCAGGTAATCGATACAATTCCTTTAATAAATTTGTAAAGCCGGCAGAATGATTCACTTCTTGAAGAACAGCTTGTTGGCTGCAACATAATACCAAGCTCACAATGAAACAACATGTTGGCCCATAACATAATACCAAGCTCACAATAAATTTACCATTTACTTAGAAAGAAGTGCGTTTTAAGTAATTTTCAATGTCCCTCCAAATTTTGTTCACCAGCCCAAAATTTCCCGCCTCATTCTCAACCAGCACATCCTCAAATTCGTAATTAGTGTTGCAAATCTGCTGGTCAGCCGTATGTACGAAATAGACCGGACATGCCCATTTACTTCGACCGCCAAAAAAATCATCGGACTGATTAATATCAAAATCGTTGTTTCTTCTTGTTTCATCGTATTTATCCTTGTATACATCAAGCAAAGTGCTTATTTGCCATTCACTTCCATCCAAAAATACGGCCACTACATCAGCATGTACTGTACCGTGCCACTTCGTCATAAAAATAAAGTTTGCCGTGCACATTTCCATTTTTCTCTTCAGCTTGTGCTCGTTCACGAGCATATTTTTGATGTCCAACGGCGGGTTCTTAAAGCTGCCCGTGCTAAACACGTTCAAACAGTTAAAAATGTTTATCTTTGATGAATAGGACGCCGGCACAAGAATAACATACTCCTTACGTACGACATGGTTCAAAATAAACCTGAAATCGTATTGTAAATTAAACTTGTTTTTATCGTATTTTTCAAGTGGATACACTTTCTCTGCCAGGTAATACATCAGTTTGCTGTCCACCACGGGTATATCGTTCTCTAGGGCAAGCTTTGCATACATCTCAAACGGCATCGTCTCGTGCTGCACGTAAAACAGGATCTGCAGGAGCGTGTAGGTTTTTTCTTCAATTTCTATATATTTGTTATCGATGATTTTATGATCAGCTATTATTTTCTTGTCGGATATTTCGTAGCCGTCTGTAAGCAGTGATCGTAAAACATCCATGTGTTGCAGAGAGGGTGCGTCATTATTTTGAAATAATACAGATCGTCATAAAAATAAAAATTGCCGGTTTTGCGTTGTTCATCGGGCACTTTGGTGCTAATGGCAATTTGTAATGGCTAAACGTGATAAATGGCCAATTTATTAATTTTGGTTGAAACTAAGAATCTGCATTTTAATTTCTACGTAAAGCTGAATTGACAAAATGAACCAAAGACCGATGGTCATGGTTGGTCCTGTGGACCAGATGAGTAAAATGAATGAGAAACTGACCATGGTTGGTCCTGTGGACCAGATGAGTAAAATGAATGAGAAACTGACCATGGTTACTTCCAACAGACCAGAAAAGTGCGTTAAAGTGAATAGTGGTGATAAATGAACATGTTTAGTTTAAAAGTAGTAAAAGACTGATAGTGGTCATCATTCACATTCTTTACCAGGTAACTGCAATACGCATAGTTAAATTCTTCGAATGATTAATTCGTGGTGCTAACTGGTAAATACTGATCAGACAATCACAGCATCTATAGAATTAAATTGTTCTGTACGTAACAAATTTGCATATTTTCTTCGTTTTTATATCACATGAGAATGAGAACTGCGCTTAAAAGAGGATTGTTATACGTATTACGTATCATTGGGCTTAGAATATTCTTGGCTATATCATCAATATTTTTATCCCGATTGAACGTTGAACAATGGCCAAAACTATGATAAACAATTACAACGATTCTTTAAATGAACGGCAATTTTCATCAAAACTGTTTATCCCAGCACGTAATTTCCCGAAATAAACAATAAACTCCCGTTTTTAACACACATCCACATCTAAAGATGATATTAGATGCCAATTTTTTCACTTGTTACTTAATATACCATCATATACGCTATTTTGACGAAAAGAAACAATTTTGCAGAAGTAATAGTTATTGTAATGGCACTTCTTCAATTGTTTATTAAAAGGCATCATCTTTACGTTTCTTTGCTACAAATTTGTGTTGTATCCAACTGTAACCATGTCAAGCTAAGAGAATTATTACTTAAAGTTAAAAATATTTTTAAAAACGTAAAAGCGCTTCTTTCCATCTTTAACACATTATTACTTGAATTTAATTATACAAATATTTAAAATGCTCATTGATATACAACGTATAACACTGTGCTAAAATTTATAGGTAAGACGTGTTATTCACACCAACTTGTCTTAACATATGAAACATTTCTAGCCCGCCTTCTACCATCATAAGTAATTAAATTATTACAGATTGTTAAATAATGAACGTACTATCGTGTTCGACCCGTGTATTTCTTAGAACACGAACGTTCTCTCTTAAATTGGTTTATTCAATAAAAGAGTAAGCAAAATGCACATGATTGTCTTTTCTTTTGTGTTAAATGGTTATGTATTAGAAATATTACTGAAAACAATCCATTTATCATATTTAGCTATTTGTTCGTTTAATTATTACCAGAGTATCAATAAATTTAATCTCATAGAGCACGTTTAGGATAACAATTTGGTACTTAAACATATTTTTATTAAAAAATGAATAGGTCAACGATCTAATAACGATATGAATAATAAAACAGCGTCAATTTGATGCAAATATGCTATTTTATCAAGATAAAAATTACGTTCAGCGATTAAACTGCGAGAATAGCAATTTATGGGTAGAATAAGATTAATAGGTACCAATTATAGTACAATCATAGATTTAATTATCATGATTTCTTCATTTCTACCTTAAAACGTAATGTCACGATGATAATTGATCTATCCAAACATTTTGTACCAATACATTACTTTATACGGTAGATCATTAAAATAAGTGTTAGAATATGTAAATACCACACTTAATACGCTATCATTGATCTATGCTTTAACATAATCCGTAATAACTGCAAATAACACACTGGTGTTCTTGTGTACGATGGATTTATCGATTATTTGACCGGGTTGCGTAGAATAAGTGTTCTATTTTGTGTTCATTCATTTTAAAAGAAAGAAAAACGTAGCACAACGTTTTATAAGGTGGAATTAACAGCAATCGCCTACAATTAACAATCACGCAACTAATACAGACTCATAAGAGAAATATAAACGAACAGCAGAACTAAAACATCACAAACACGACTCGTATTCTTTTTCGTATGAAAATCGCTGATTGCTAAGTAAAAAGTATCGTGTTAATGGCTTAACACGAGACATTGTAAAAATTTTGAAAATCGCTGTGATCGTGGAAACACGGCATGCCCTTGTTAAGTCAAAGCGTCTACCTCTTATACGTTAAAGTAAAATATGTTCATTGAAATGATATCTGCAATCAAAAACAAAGGTACCAGAATGAACGCAGCTCAAACAAAGATAAAACCACGGTTTAATAACAGATTAAAATTCATATCTTGTACGCATAGGACATTAGGCAACAAGACGATATTA